GACGCGAAGAACGTCTGCTTTAGTTGAAAAATGAGACATTTGATTTTGAAGATTACAAAATTTGTTTTGAATTTCATTGATTTCACTATTATGTGGATTCATTAATTCAGGTATTTTCTCGTTTATTAAATTTTTTTCATATCTTCCTCTGGCTCGAAAAAAAGACATTTTTTTAAAAAAAAAAATTTTTTTTAAAATAAAAAAAGACATCTTCTTATAACAAAATTTATATTATTTAAATTAAAACACTTTTTTTTATACAAATGTAAAAAGTTAAGAATATTATTTTCATAACGTAAATTCTAGTTGTTTGTTTTTTTAAAGCAGTTCATTAGAAATCCTTTGTATTTCTTCTTTTTGATTTTTAATCGTTTCTCTTAACTTGAACGTTTCGTATTGCATTGATTGTATTTGTGATTGAACATCCTCATTCATTTTTTCCATTTGTTTTTTATCTTGTAAAACTTTGTTTTATAACAACAAAGACAATTACAATCACATCGATCCATTCCTTTTAGCATTTTTTTTTAAACTAATTATAAAATGGTACCATTTGTATTTTAAAAGTAGGATTAAAAAAAACAGTAGTACTTAAATTGTTAAATTTGAGCGGTTCTTTATTAGCGTTCAAAAAAGACCATTTTGTTTTTTTCCAATCTTCTACGTCAACATTATCAAACGTTGTTAATTGTCCTTGTATTTCTGTTTTGCGATTTTTAGTAAAATCGATATTGACTGTTACTTGAGTAGCATTGTTATAATCTGACAAATTAAAATAAGAAACAATACCCGTTTCATATCTTCTGTTCATGTACATTCCACAATTGGTAGCTTGATCGCATTTAATAAATATAAGGTTGTCGGTAGTAGTAGGAAAATTAGATACAGAATTATTAAAGTTACTTATTTGCATCAAAGTACATCTTAAAAAAGCAAGTTTTCTTTTTTGAATTTTAAAATCTTGAGCCATGGTATAAACCATATTTTGATCTATTTCTATATTAAACGGATTTATTTCGTTTGTCAAACTGTATTGATCTCTTTGTAATAGCAATGTATAAGATACAGGATTGTTTCCAATGGGTTGATACATTTTTAAAATAATATTTTTTAATGGTAAACTATTAGACCAAGAATTTATGATAGTACCGTCACTTTTTTTTGTCCGTTGAGCGAAGTGCAATAAAATACCAATTCGTTAATGTTTCTACCTTGCAATATAGATTTCGATCCGTTTAACCACGTTTTATAACTAGGTGTAGTAGCTCTTTCAAAAGATGCCGTAGTAACAAGAGGTACTTTTAAAGTTGGAGAAAAAATAGATTTAGTTTGTTCGCAGTACATCAAAACTTCAATAAATGTGTCTGAATTGTATTTAGCAATCAATGACCAATCTGCCGTTATTATTTTATAAATGTCTTCAGGTAAATTAGAAGGAGATGTAGTTAAAGTGATGAGTGAACCAAATTGAGCATGATACGGTGAAATTTGGTTTCCTTTCATTTCAAAATAGTTGTTATATGTATTTGTTGAAGCGATTATAGCTTTAGAAATTTGTAATGGTGATTTTAAATTGATTTCGTATGTGTTTTGTTCAAATAAGGTAAACACCAAAAATTATAATAATTTTTATAATAGTCGTTAGGAATGGATGAAAAATTGTATTGATTGAGAAATTTTTGATAAGAGTAGACATTAGTACCTTCATAAATAAATTCGTTAAAAGTAAGATTATTTAACTTTAAATTAAGTAAATTGTTTGGCAAGTTGTCATTTATACTTTTTAAAAAAAGGTTTATAAAAAAAAGGTTTATAAAAAGTTTATAAAAAGTTTATAAAAAAAAGGTTTATAAAAAGTTTATAAAAAGTTCATAAAAAAAAGGTTTATAAAAGGTTTATAAAAAGTGTCTACGTATTCGTTAAAGTTTTTAAAATAAATGTTTTATCTTCTTCGTTAATAGGTAACAAATCTTCTCTCTTGACTTTATACGTTGTATTTAAATTGTCAACTTGTCCTACTTTGTAAATATGAACCGGTAAATAACCTTGCACTGAAGAGTTTGTGCGTTTGCTGACTTTCATAATGATGACACGTTTTGTAGACGGTTTCGGGTACTCGATTTGCTAAAAGTATCTTTAGCATCTTTTTTGTATTTTCTCAAATAACATTCTGTTCCAACAGATAAAGATTTTTAATTTTTGATTTTTGTGTTCTTTTTCTACGCGATGCAACATGTTGGATGTAAAATCATGTTTACGTTTTTTGTTGCTTAAGTATTGATCAATCATTCGAAGCGCTTTACTATGATTGTCATCGGCATCCAATTCTTCGGGACTTATACCGCTCGATGTTTTTTCTTTTTCGTTTAGTTTTTGTTCCATTTCTTTAATGTAATAACTCCAATTATTTTTTTTTATCTCTTAATTTTTGATATAACAGTTTTAAACGTCCAATGAACGATTCAGCTAAGTAGGCTTTTCCGTAATTTTTAGAATGAAAGTGATATACGTTTTCGGATTTGCACCATTCTTTCGTTTTTGAATTAAAAAATTCTGTACCTTCGTCTGTTTGCAAATATATAAAACTTTTGTCGTCGTCTCGTTTAATGTCTTTGCATTTTAAAATCAATTGTTACTTTGATTGGACATTGTCCTTTATGCCATAACAATTCAATTAAAATCTCAGCTGATTTATCAAAAAAGAAAGGCTTGGCAGTGTTTTTAAACATTTCTTGCTCAACACCTTCTTGCAATTGGAAACAGTCTTTTTATTCTAGCAAAGAGATTGAAAAGCAAGGTCCAGGAATGTCACTATTTGAAATAAGTTGTAGATTTGTTGTTGTAATGAGAGAGATTAGAAAAAGTCATTCTGGTTTGGAAAAATTTTGTGGTTTAATAAACTTACCTCCTCCAATGAACATAAAAGCATTTAATGATGTTCAAGATAAAATTCATATCATATATCAAGTTGTAGCTAATGTAAAAGTGAAAAATGCAGCAAATTAATTTCAATTTCTTAACAATGATATCTAACCAAATGATTTTGATATTAATGTAATAGCTGATGTTGTTGTTTCCTGTGATGGAACTTGGCAACAAAAGGGTCATTCCTCACTTAATGGTGTTGTTACTGTTATTGCTAGTGACTCAGGGAAATGTGTTGACTATCGAGTTCTTTTAAAAATATGCAATGCCTGTACATCATGGGAATCAAAAAAAGATAGTGATCCAAAACTTTATGAAAATTTTTTGGAAACCCATGATTGTTTAAATAATCACGAAGGTTCTGTTGGATCAATGGAAATTTCTGGAATTGTAGATTGTTTCATGAAATCTATAGTCAAAAGGTGTATTAAACATATTTGAATATTTAAATGTTACACCAGGTACATTTGCCTCAGTACTGAACTAAAATTGACCAAGAAAGAACAAACATGATGGAAAAAAAGTTGCTTAACACAATAAAACAAAAAAGAAAGCTGCTTCGTGCAGAGCGAAAAGGTTTTAAAGATATAGTAAATAAAAGTTAAGGTGTATCTTATGAAGCAGGAATTATTTAGATATTAGTTTTTTGTTACTTTTTAAATTAAATTTATGTTAAGGCAGTTATTGTATTTTTTAACGTAGTTATTGTTTATTATCTTTTTATATTCAAGCTTTTTTTTCATTGATTGAATAATTCTATTTCGGTTAAATTTTTTTCAATTATTAGAGTTTTCACATTTTTCTTTTTTCTGTGTTTTCAATAATGCTCAAGTCATTTTGTTTTCAATAATTTTTTGACCTTTTTATATATTAATTTTTTTTTTTTAATTTAAAATCTTTATTATTGTTTTTCTCAATATATGAGTTTTTTGCACGCTGCGATAAACATCTTGAGATTGGTTTGTCTGATTGTGTTGAAACTTTCAGGAGTTGTTTATTATATATATGCAAATTCACCTTACCAAAAGAGTTAATGTTAGTTAACTGGTTCTAAAAATAAGGTCTAGGTTCTAAGCCTTTTCGGGGCTATTTTTAGGCCTTAAACTAGTTTTCTTACAAAAGCTTCAATAATTTGTTAAATTGTTTGATTTTGGCAGGGTGAGTGTAATCATCTGATATAAAAAAGCTGTTAAAATTTTATGATCATACCATTATTAGTTTACAGGCTGTTTATTGCAGCGCGTAGTCCATATTTAGGGTCCATGGACCCAAAATTTTGACCAAAAGAAAATATTTTTAATTTTTTTTTTCTTTATTGTGCTTTAAATATATAATACTATTTCTTATATGAAAATCATAAAATATGAATGCATTTTTAAAATTTTGGTTTTATTAGTATAGGACCACCTTAACCATCAGCAATCTATCTCACGAGATAGATTGATTTTAAGATAAAAAGATTTTAAAATAAGAAAAGCTCTTGACATAGCTTTATGTACGATAAGATTGATATGTTGATTGAATTTGAGATTTCTATCAATGGTAACTCCAAGATCTCCTATACAGTTAACATGGGCAAGTTCTTAGTTATTTATGGTGTAAATACGCTGGGCTATGTTTTGACTCTGGTTAGCAATAGTACAGACAAAGGATTTTTCAATTGCTATTTGGAGTTATCAAGTACAACTCCATTCGTACAAGCAATTAACAGCTGTAAGAAGGTCTGACTGAAGGCCACGTACATCATAGACTGAATTTAATTTAATGTTATCAGCAAAAAGTTTAAGTTTGACATCAAGCTGTATTTTAATGTGGCTTACATCATTTATAAACAATGAGAATAAAGTAGGTCCAAGAACACTCCCCTGTGGAACACCGCTTGTTACAGATATAGCATGGGAAGTAACATTGTTTAAATTTACCACCTGTGATCTCATGTGCAGAAAATTAATTAGCCAATTTAGAAGATTGCCAACTATTCCGTAAGCAGGTAATTTCATTCGTAACTTAGGATGTGAAACTGAATCGAAATCTTTCTTAAAATCAAAATAAATAATATCTGTTGAAATACGGCGCTAAACATTTAAAGTCCACTCATGAAGATTTTCAAGAATATTAGTACACGTACTACGTTTACGAATTAAACCATGCTGCTTTTTTGTGATTAGGTTATTGAGTAAGAGATAATTAATCAGTTTGTTATTAATGATTCTTTCCATTACGCGACAACAAGTAGATGTCAAGGAGATAGGTCTATATTTACCTGGGTTAACTGTTGGTCCTTTTTTGTGAATTGGAATAACGCTTGCATTTTTCCAGTTTAGCGGTATAGCACCATCTTTAAATGAGGTATCAAATAAATGGCTTAAGGGAATCGATAAACTATTGGCACAATTTTTTAGGAAAACATTGGAAATGCCATCTAGACCAGTAGATGTGGTGGGTTTAAGCGCTCTTAGTGCTTTTTCGACTGTAGAAGGAGAGAAACTAACAGATGACAGACAAGTTGAATGTACGTTAACACGATCCGTAAACTTTGGTGATAAACCATTATCGACTGTAAAAACACTTGCAAAATAGTTATTAAAAATACAGGATATTTCTTCTTTATCATGACAAAGGGTTTTAACGGATCGACGAATGTCATTGAATTTACTACAGTTTTTGAGTTTTCCATTGACAAAATTAAAGAAACTGCCAAGGTTGTCTTTGCGTATCATCGTAAGTTCTTTTGCTGCATGATACTTTCTAATGGAATCAGAACATTGTGCGGCAATTGATTTATAGGCTGCTTTGTCAATATATTTACCTGTTACATTTGATTTTTTCCATGCTATTGCTTTGTTGTTTATTAACCTTTTAACATAATAAGGAAAGTGTATTTTATGTGATAACTTATGCTCTTCACAGACTCGCACTTTAGGTATATATTGTGTAATAATTTTATTTAGTATAGTAGAAAACGCATGCCAACAAGTTTCAATATTAAAACATGTTTGAAAGATAATCCTCCAATCGACCAATTTCAGATATTTATTGATAACTTGGTAATCTGCATTTTTCCAACAGAAGAACTGTTGCACTGGAAGTTCAGTTTTGTTATATAAGCAGCTCAAATTAGGAGTGAATATGATTACATTATGATCACTAGTACCAATAGGTGGCTCAATACCGAGATTACTGATAAATGAAGAGAAAGAACTTAAAATAAGATCTAAGATGCTATTTTCTCGAGTTGGTTGATCAACATTCTGAATGAGACTATATCTGTTTGTAAAATGTGAAAAAGAGTTATGTATAACACTTTCTGGACCATGATAGTAGTGCCAATCTATATCAGGTAAGTTAAAATCTCCTAGTATGACCACCCTTTTTTTTTGATCGAACACAAAATAGAGAAACATTTTACACTACTCTGCATAAAGTCAATAGCAACTTTACCGAAACCCCCACTGCGATAATAGCCAATAACTCTGAACGACTGACCATTCAGGTTTAAATCAGCACATACAATTTCTAACTTATTAAACTCTGGTAGTATGTCAACTTTTTTAAATTGTGTAAAACTGCGAAAAAATATTGCTATTCCACCACCTTTACTACTTCTGTCACAGCGAAGAACAGTGTAAAACCTAGGACATAACAGACTGTCAGGTAGGTTTTTATTCAACCAAGTTTCAATAACACAACAAATATCAAGACTGTTTAAATAAACAAAGTATTGGAAATCAGCAATTTCATTACCTAGACTGCGAATGTTGGTTAGTGCTTATTTCCCACAATAATTGTTTTTTTGGTGGTTAAATAGCTCTTGGTTTTTTAAAGTTATTAGTTACCTCTTGTTGTTCTTTTCAATAAACTTGTTTGAGTTTTGAAAGAGTAGATTTTTTGAAAATAGCAGCTGACCTTGTTTACTTTATATAAGTTGCTATCTTTTTGTGAGTTTTACAACTCTTCTATTTCTAATTCCGTAATAAAATTGTAAATCTTTACTAGTTTCATTCAACTTAGCATGTTCTTCTCTTAAAGCTTTCATTTTAAGTCTTTCAGCCACTGTCAAGTCGGCATTAATAAATATGTTATTTGTTTCTGGTAAATTTCGTAGGGTTTTGGCTATTTTTAGTAGAGCATTTCTTTCTTCTTTGTTATTTAAACAACAATTACTGGTGGTGGCTTGTCTAATTTTATACTTAGTTTGAAAACACGTTAGATAGTTGCTTTAGCATTCATCTGGTTGAATATATTTTGTACCCCTAATATATCTTCTTCTCTGGCTACATTATAATTTTTGTTTTTAGAGGTATTAAATCCAAAGACTATTAAGTTTTTTTGCCTTAGGCCTCTATCTTAAGATTCTTTAACACCTACATTGACTAAATCCAGTTGGACTGCTTTGTTACTCTTTTTACCTTTTACTACATCGGACCATGCACAACCACTCGAATTTAGTACGTTGCTTGGTTGGTTCTTCAGATCATTCACTAATATTTTGAGTTGAGTAATTTCTTTATCCTTTGTTAAAATTTCTGCTTCCATTTTTAATACTCTTCGTATTAGAGCTTCAAAGTCTTCTTTTCTTACCATTTTTTTTAACGTTAATTAAAAAAATATATATATATATATATATATATAATATATATATATATATATATATATATATATATATATATATATATATATATATATATATATATATATATATATATATATATATATATATATATATATATATATATATATATATATATATATATATATATATATATATATATATATTACAAGACACTTATGAAGAAAAACCTCAACGTAAAAAAAATGTTATTAAAAAAAACGAAATTGAAAAACCAAAACGTAAAAAAGTAAAATATTCATAAGATGAAGGCGAAAGTACTGAAGAAGAATATGTTGAAAAAAAACCATCCAAAACTAAAGTTGCGTTAAATTCACACGTATTTGCTCAATGTGTTCAAGAAGTTAAAGCTGTAGGACGCTATTAATGGTTTCTGCAGAAACTGTATTATACAACAAAGAGCTATTTTATCCAGTCCTTTTATGCAAAATAACATTGAAAAAAAAAGATAAAATAAATAAAAAAAGTATAATTGAACTTGGTTACACGTGAGCTTTAAAAGATGTTAAAAACAAAAAATTACCATTTAAAAAAAATACTTCCGACTCGGAAGATGAATAAATAGAAATAAAAAAATTTAATAAAAATTTTTTTTTATTTTTTTTAAGAAAATATTATATTAAGATGTGTTCTCTAGCAAAATACATGAGAGCGGGAGATGGTAACCGTTATACGCCTAACCATAACGGTCCCGTTACCATTGATGACGTTTTACAAAAAGCAGAAGACGAAAATCGTCTTTTGCAAGAAGCTACAAGCTGTAGCCATAGTGAAGAAATGAAAGAAGCCTTAAACGAAAAATATCCTGGTTTTATGACTGCTGTAGCTCAAGACGAAGTCATTAAAACAGATATTCAAAAATTTACTCCTGATTTAACTTCTGAATTAAAAAGTTTAATTACGTTTACTATGAAACTCAACGAATGGACAATACCGGAAGATTATATTTTTAAATTTGATGTTCATTTGTTTAAAAACATAAACACAAAAACAAGATTTAATACAACAGCAAATCATGCAGATCTTGCATTATTAGAACTATTTCGTTTGGTAGAAGGTTTTGCTTTGCACATATACAAATATAAAAGAACTCATCCAAATTATCTAAAAAATAACTCTATGCCTGCTAATAACGTTATAAATAATCGAGCATACGAACGATTTAAAACAATGTTTGTTAAAAAAAGTTATATGAAAGTTTATAGAGAGCACATGCTTAATCATAATTTAGCATTTACAGAAAAAACAATTAACAGACCAACTTGGGTTAAAACAAGAGATCTTATGAAATCTAACGATGTTAATGGGGTCATAAGAGCAATGAATAGTACCGTTATACCTGAATATCAAACATTTCTACAAGATACCTATAATGCTTTGATGAACGGAGACAAAGGTTTTCGTTTTAGAGTACCCTTATTTTTGTTATGTGAATTTTTTCAAATTAAAAGTTAGTATGGAAAAGGTAAAGAATTAAAAATTGAATTTACTGTTGAACAAGATACTAATCAACTTTTAGAATATATAAGAAATATAACTGATGTACAAATAGAATCTTTAGCTAATGTTGGATTAGAAATTAGAAATCCTGCAATTTGGGTCAATACTTACCGAATCAAAGCCAGTTTACCTTTAAAAAAATCTTTATATCTAAACAGTTACCCAGATCAACCTTATACTATAGCACGTTTTGCTCATTACGAACAAGTTATAACTAACGTAGAAGGTACAGATACCGTTACCATAAATATAGGAAATATAAAAACAGCTGACATGGTACCTTATTGTGTTTTGTTTTCTGTTCAATCAAAAAAAGAAAGCGATCATCTTACTAAAACTTCTATGACACCTGTTGAAATGGCTTGCACTATGATTAAAAAAATTACTTTTCATAACTTAAAATGAACTTTTGTCAATTCTTCAGGTGACACTTATGTAATTGATTTAGAAAACAAAGTAGAAGATCAACAATTATGTTATCGTAGTTATGTTTCTTGGTTTTAAGGAAATACACCTTCTACTCTTAATATTAATAATTTTCCAGATTTTTATACAAGTGACGATGACAGTTTTATTAGAAATCCTAATGATTATTTCAGTCAAACGCGTAACATAACAGAACCTTTAGCTATTGACACCACTAGCGATTATAATTATGTGAACGACAAACCTCCAGCTACCATTCAAGGAAACAATTCCTTACAAATTACCGTTGATTTTGTTACCAGTTTCAAAGGTCTCATAACTCTGTACCTTCAACATGCAGCACAACTAATTCAAACTGGAACAGGAGAAGACGAAAATTACACATATTATCCTTTTAAATTTAAATCATCATAACACCTTTTACAACATTTTTATTTTCGTTCAATTAACCATGTTTTTATTGTATTTTTTTATGCACCCACGACTATTTAATTTAAAAAAATATAAAAAAAAAAACATTTATATTTGTTCTTTCTCAAAACTAATTGTATGGCGCGAAGACGGTATTGTAAAAGAAGAGGTCGCAAACATCGAGGTAAAGGAAAAATTATAACTAGAGTTAAAAATTTTGCCAGACGTTTACTTAGGTCAGACGTGGGAGGTTTAGCGTTAGATTATTTGCAAAAACAACGTAATGCGTAGATTGTGTAGAAAAAGAATTCATAATAGACGAGGAAAAGGAAGAGTTTATTTATTTATTGGGCTTTATTGGGTGGTAGTTTACTATCTTCTATAATACGTTAAAAAAAACACTTGTACAAAAAAAAATTATTTTTAAAATGCGTAAAAGACTAAGAGGAAAAAGACATAAAAGACGTTTAAAAAGACGTTACAAAAAACGAATGCGTGGAAAATTTTTAGGAGCAATAGATGCAATTGCTTCAAGACTTTTACCAAGACTTTTACCTATAGTAGGAAGAGCCGCTTTGGGTGGTGCAGTTTCGGTAGGAATATCTTATGGAATAAATCAAATTGAAAAATAAAAAAAAAAAACATTTTTTTTTATCATTTTAATTTATTAAATATTGTATTACAACCGTATACATGTTCGTTTTTTAAATTAAATTTTTCGTAACCCTTATAATAATTAATAAAATTTTCCATTATTTCTTCAATTGATTTATATTTTCTACTTCTCTACAAATCTTCTCCAATTTCTAAAGGTGCATACTCATTTATTTTGATTATAAGCGCACAAACAATATAAAAAATAATTCCAAAAGTAAGAAATAATACTATTAATAATAACTGCAACGGAAACACCAAAACGTATAACATTAATTTTGCAATATTTACAGATTTTAAATAGTTATATGTTTTTAATACACCAGATTTAACAACATTTACAACAGGTTGAAAAAACTCGCAAATTCGTATACCACTTGTTTTCATAAAATTTAAAACTTCCATTTCAAAATGTAAAAAAGAACTTTCTATGAACGATAGTTATGATTACCGTTTCTATTGCCTGTATATAAATTTTGTTTTACTTCTTCTGGCTTGTACGGTTTTACAACTACAACTGGTATCGGTTTATCGAACTGTTGTAATGGTTTGTTCTTTGATTCCATCTGATTTAAATAACAAAAAAAAAAATGGTTTTCTTATATATATATTTTTTTGTTACGCTAGATTAAATTTAAACAATAAATCTTATTTTTTTAAAAAAAAAGCATTATTTAAGATTATAACAAAAATTATGACATCATCGGTCGGGAGTCATAACTTGAAATTAAAGAATGGTCAGGGTTAGGGTTAGGGTTACCCTGACGCTAGATTCACTTTAAA